ACGTTTAGTGATAAAGTTAATGTGGTCACTGGAGTTTTCATTCTCTGGCAATTTTTTATGTACCGGGTAGTCGCATAAGCCGATCTCTCGGCTATATATCAAAAACTATTCATGTTATAACTTTAGGAGAAAAAATTCCTTAGAAAAAGTGGCCAAGAGAAATCGCTGGAAATAACTTTCAAGTTTCTGGGTTAGCCGCTAGGGGGCGTAATATGTGCAGAAAAATTTGAAAACCAGTTTTTTTGTGAAATATGTCCAATTATACCGAGTGTTAAATAAGTAAACTAGAAAGAGACCTAAATTTCGCAAAAAGTTGTTCAATTACTTTTTTTAATTTTTTCAAATAAAGGGTGGGCGAGAGTGGGAAAGTATTTGTGGATAAATACCTATAACTTTGGTTTGGATCAACCGATTTTAACAAAATTAGTGTCATTAGAAAGAGTGTGGATCATTTAATATACATCTACTTTAAACCAATTGCATTTAGTTTTATTTGTCATGGATAGGGTACTTTCGAATAGAAAAAATTAAAATTTATTTTTCTTCAAAATGTTTAAAATGGAAACACCTATTTATTGTAAATTATAATGAAACTGCATTAAATTCGTAACAAAATGGCGCAAACCGTATGCTAATAGCTTTTGTCGAACTCGAGTTGTGAATAAAAACGCATAAACATGAGTAAACATAGTATTGACTTACCGTTTATTATAACTTATAATTAAATAATGCGAAAGATCATACAAATATCTCGAGCATTAAAACTTAATGTCCAATTAAATGTTCAAATTTTTTTCCATCGTTGTCCACGCAAAGATGTAATCTTTCGCACGTAGACATAACAGCTGCTTCAATCTCAGCTGTTGATATACTATTTATTGCGTTTATAATGCGTTGTTTCATGTCGTCTCTCGTGGTTGGTCGAGTTTGGTACACTAAGTCCTTCAATCTTCCCCACAGATAAAAGTCCAGACATGTTAAGTCTGGAAATCTAGCTGGCCATGAAAATATACTTCCCCTTCAATCCATTTATTTGGGTAACTTGCATACAAATAACCTCGAACTCGTCTGGAAAGTGCGCAGGACACCCGTCATGTTGTAATATCATATTATATCTTATTGTTTGTAAGGAAATATCTTCCAATAAAACAGACAACTAATTTTCCAGAAAATACAAATATGTTTCGCCATTTAAAGTTCTATCAAAGAAATATGGACCTACGACCTTTCCATCAACTGTACCACACCAAACAGTAAGACTCCATCTACCTTGAACCCGCAGTTCATGTATCCAGTGCGGATTTTCTTCAGCCCAATAATGCATTATTATGCAGATTATTATTAACGCCACCCACACTATTAAACAAAGCCTCGTCTGTCCACAAAATCTTTGACATGATATGAGGTTGTTCTTCTAGCAGACCTAACATCCAATTGCAGTAATCCAGCCTTGCATCAAAATCTCTCTCATGTAAAGCTTGGTGGAGAACTACATGATAAGGATGCAGAAATCTTGAAAAATCCACAATTATGCACAAGATAAATTGTGCATAAGTATTCTTAAGTATTGTAATATTAAGATAACAGTTGAATCTAAAGTTTAAAGGGAATTCCAAGTTTCTGACCTAAACATTCACTTTATATTATGAAAAACCAACCTGTGATGTTTTAAAATTCTTAGAACAGTACTTTTGGGTATGTTTAATTCTGTAGAGATTAACCGACTACTTATATTGTGGATTCTGTTGAATTAAAGCAAGAACATTGATTGAATTATCTTCGGTCATACCCATGGACGTTTATGGTCATACCGGTCATACCTCTATTACGTCGTTTAAAACAAGGACGATGAAAACTACCAGTTTCTCTTAATCTTCTTGCGTTTTTTCAAATACTTCTTTGCCATAATGTCTCCTGTCAGGATATCTTACAAAATATATCTTCTTCTTCGGGTTCCTTCTCCTAGCGGAGGTTGGAAATCATCATCGCTATTTTAACTTTGTTGGCCGCATTTCTGAATAATTCTAATGAGCTGCAGCCGAACCACTCTCTCAAATTTCTTAGCCAGGACATTTTGCGTCGTCCTGGGTTTCTCTTCCCTTATATAATCAACCTCAGTAATACGTACTTCTCACCCCTCATTAAATGTCCCAGATATTGAATCTTTCTAATTTTAAACAGTTTTTATGACTTCACATTCTTTCTTCATTCTTTGTAACACCTTTATATTAGTTACTTTTTCAATCCACGATATTTTATGCATTCTCCTATAGCACCACATCTCAAAGGAGTTTAATTTTTTGATTTCAGACTGCTTTATTGTCCACGCTTCCATGCCATATAGTAAAGTAGAGAAGACGTAACAACGTAGCATTCTTGTGCGAATCTCTAGATTAAGGATACGGTTGCAAAGTAATTTCTTCAATTTTATGAACGTGTTTCTTGCCATTTCTATTCTAGATCTGATCTCCTTTACTTGATCTCCATCTTCGGTTAGCCACGTTCCTAAATATTTATATGTTTTTTACTCTTTCTATCGTTGTATTATTGATGATCAGGTTATTTACATTTTGTGGTTTTTTTGAGAATATCATTGATTTCGATTTCTTGAGATTCATTTGCAGTCCGTAACTTTCACATGCATTGTATACATGTTGTATTATGTAAAAATATATACGTGAAGCAATAGCGGCATTTTGGTGACATTCGAAATAAACTCCAATCATATCATACAATTCTACATTTGATATACGTGGATATACCTATCACGAATTATTAGTACTGATAATTAATTACTAATATTCACTACTAATATAACACTTTACTAATATAACACTTCTTAACAATGTTTTGACTGCTGTCAATAAATAAACAATATGAACTTCATACTCGTCAAATTCATTGTCGTACCGTACTTAGTTTCGAAAAAACTATTTTTAATCATATGAAATAACAATGGTCAAAATAGGTACCAACATTAAGATTCTTCTGCTATAAAGAAATTTGAAAGTACCTACTGACTTATTTTTTAATTCAATTTATATTACAAGGTGTGCCAATACTATACTTATACTTATGTTTATGCGTTTTTATTCATATCTTGAGTTCGACATAAGCTATTGACATGCAGTTTGTGCCATTTTGTCTACGAATTCAATCCAGTTCCATTATAATTTACAATAAATAGGTGTTTCCACTAAACATTTTGAAGAATAACAAATTTAATTTTTTCTATTCGAAAGTAACTTCTACCTATGACAATTAAAACTTAATGCAATTATTTTATATTAGATGTAAATTAATTCATCCACACTATTTCTAATGATACTAATTTTGTTAAAATCGGTTAATCCAAACCAAAGTTATAGGTATTTATAAATATTCACAAATACATTCCCACTCTCCCCCACCCTTTATTTGAAAAAATAAAAAAAGTACTTGAACAACTTTATACAGAATTTATGCCTCTTTTTAGTTTACGTATTTAACACTTGGAATAATTGGGCATATTTTACCAAAAAACTGGTTTTCAAAATTTTTGTTCACAGGTTACGCCCCCTAGCGATTAACCCAGAAACTTGAAAGTTATTTCCAGCAATTTCTTTTGGTCACTTTTACTAAGGAATTTTTTCTCCTAAAGTTATAACATGAATAGTTTCTGATATATAGCCGAGAGATCGGCTTATTGGACCACCCTGTATATTTTTCCATTCATGATAAGCACGGGAATGCTTGTCCAACCTTTATCAACTTTGTCGACTTTATCAATCAACGATTCGGTATAATTTAGACACGTTTCGTCTATAATTATGAATATTACGTTTTTCTGTTGAATAAAATCAAAAGTTAATTATAAACATTAAAAAATTAAAGACCTTATTTTCGGGCCCCAAAATTACCCCTGATCGTGCTTGTTAATTCTGTGATGTAAGCTTAGTCGTCGAATCGAAACTACAAGCGACTCAATTCAGTCAGTTTGATAAGCCTTCTGTCGAAATATTTACGAAACCCAAAGACCCTTTATCTACAATCTGCTTATTATCGACGAATAATTTTCGAGTGGAGAATTAATTATCTATTACAACTTATCCTGACATATTGTACATAGTTTTTATACATTTCTTTCTTCCACAACTATGAGCTATTTTGTTCTTACAGATCACACCTAGAAAAACTCCAGACTTATCACCTAGAGGTGAGTTGGTTATGAATGAAGAAATAGAAACTTTGGATATGGTATCTAATAAAATAGTGCGAATACCAGCAAAGATATTAGTGGAGGGCGGAAAGAGTCACATGCTACACGAGGTGGCTCACACTTGGAAAAAGGACTGGAGGTAGGATCAGTTAATAATTCGCGAATACCAATATTGAAACATAAAAAGTTTTATTTAATTTCTGTTTTGTTTTATTCTTCTTTGTTCCATTTAAAACTTGAAAATAGCTTTGTCTCAGAAGAGAATTTAAGTTCTGGAAAAAATTTAGTCCCAGAACAGAACCCAAAATGTCGTTGAGATAGCATCAGAAAATAAAATATACTCATACTATAGTAATATTGACAATATTATTTTTTTGTAGAATGTGGTTGTGGAAAAATAGCCCCGAAATGAAGAGTAAGAGATCAATTGCTGATAGACTGATTGGTGGGTCTAAATGTAATAAATACGTTTGAACATTGCTAATTTTGTATTTCTTTTGTATAAATTTTGTAAAAATTAGCAAAAAATTCTTCAATACCAAAATTATTATTGTGGTGTCTACAAGCCAAAATCTTTCAATTTTGACGCGTTGATTCTGCAAATAAATTTGCATTTTAATACCACATTCTAAACCTTGTGAGAACTTTATTTAATTAATTATTTTTATTGGCAATAAGCCATAATTTTTCTTTAACATAAGTTTATTTTGACATTTCTAGTTCCACTTCGGAAATCGTTCTCAATTCTTGAAAATAAAATACAAAAAAAATTTTCTCCGCTTTATATTGACGAAATAATTTAACACAAAACATTTTGACTTTTAATATCAAATATCGTGTACATAAAATATATACCTAGAAGTGACAAGATTTTTTTAAAATAAATATAAGTGCAGTATACTTGAAAAGTATCTGTAATATATAACATAATTTTAAAATAAATACGATATTGTCTACTGCTTCAAAACAACCCAACTTTTTTCTTCAACTCTTGTTGCTTCCATCTGGGTAGCTTTTCGAAGTCTGCATACGCCATCTTGAACATTGAAACGAAGTCGTCGTGTGTCAAATGTAACTGAAAAAATAAATAAATGAAATGCAGTGATAGAAGATAACTTGAACAAACGGTATATTGCCACACAGCATTTGTTAATTTTTTATTATTTTTATATGAAAGGGTCAACTTATATTGTTTTTAAAAAGCTTGACCTAAATTAACTGACGACTAGAGTTTGGCGATTCAAATATTGTGTAAATACGTATACAAACTAGGGGTCTGAAAAGCTGATATGAACAAAGGTCAAAAGAATCAAATTGAGAGATTTATGAGGTAAAAAAACGTTTAAAAGACATTTAACGAAAACTTGACATTTTTGTGAGATAGATACATTTACAAAGAAATATATTGCAAATTAATGTAGTACAAAGGCATTCTCTGTATAATTAATAAAAAAATATATTAGGGCCGTAATATATGTAGAATAGAATAGAAATATGCTTTATTATCAATGAAAATTGTACAATTTTATGTACAAAGCTTACAAAAAGTCAAAAAATTAGCAATAACAATGAAAATTTAATGGCTTTGAATTATTGATCCATTCAGCCACGATATATAATAAATACTGTGTGCTACAATATTAAATATAACAGATACTATATACATATGCGCACATATACACATTTATGCACGCACATACATATACATAGGTATTGTTAAATAAAAATTAAAAAAAATACAAAAAGGAAGTGGAAAAATTAAATTGGCCTCTATTTATACTCTTCATTCAGGCCCTAAACAACGTAATTTAATTTCACAAATAAGAAATATACAAATAATACTAAATGCTAGTACTAAATACTAATAAATTCTTTTTTTTAATTTTTTCTTTTTTTACTTATTACTTTTTTCACAGCGCTAAGACATAAAACCGGTTCAACACCTCGGATGTTTAGGCCTTCTTTGTGAATGTTTTAATCGTCAATATCATAAAATAAAAGATAATAAAATATTCAATCCATTGCAACATTTAACTAAATTGCAAATTGCATAATAAAACCTTACGAACAAGTTTACGAATAAGTTTAAGTTGCTGTATGTGATACCCAAATATATATGTATATACATATATATATATTATATATATATATATATATATATATATATATATATATATATATTATTGTGATATTTAAAGTCTTGGTGTGCCAAGCAACTAATTAGCTAATTAATTAATTGATTAATTAAAATTATTTAAATGATATGATTATGACTCTATCACACTTTTTAATTCTCTTATCTCAGGGTTAAATTCGTGCTTCAATATCTATGCTATTACATGTGAAAAGTAAGGTCCAAAGAATACCGGAATAATAAAAAACACATATGATATAACACTATATATTGAAATAAAAATAATGAAATAATTCACACTCAAATGTTTTCAATAAACAAAATCTCATATAATGATTCTCAAAATTTTGTTCTACGTACGTGAACCTTCAAAATTAATGGTACAAACAATATTAGTTGAAATCTCAACATCCAAATATTATTCTAAATCTCCTAATCAAAATATTTATATCCATTCTAAATTAAGTGTAAAAATTGTGTTATCAATAAAAGAAAAAACTGCAGAAAACAAAACTATCTCTCTCTGATGATGAGTGGTCCAAATCCTTGTTATTTGTAGACTATACTATTTACTCGTGGCCGCTCCCTAGGTAATCAGCAATCTTACAACAAATTATTGCAAGTATGTCGTCCTTAATGATCTCCTTCAAATGCACGAATCGTTCAAATTATGCTAGCTTCTTCTTCTCTCAATAAACTGAATCTCTCGTTGGCCTGAGTGAAAAAATGACTCTTGGAATATCTTTTCTTTACGATAACTGAATCTCTCGTTGGCCTGAACAGTGACTCTTGGAATATAAGTAGAAAAATATGACTTACAATATTTTACTGGATCAGCTTCTGTCAGATACACTAACTACACGAAAACTCACAAACTTTCACTGCTACTGCTTCCTACCTCTGGGAAACTACCCGAGAACAACGGCCGTTCGCCTTGCACCCTTGGAAACCAACTGATTATCTTTTTTCTCTCCTAAATCTAGCTAAACTTTCATTCCTACATACCTATCCCACCTTTTTCAATCTCCGCCAATCAAAGCTCGTCACAATTCCCCATTTTTTCATTTCGATAACAAACAACTTTTTACCTATAATTGTAAAATTTCCTAAAACTTATTTACAAATAATATTTTTCTACAATTCTTAAAAACTAACAAAAACCTCTTTCTAAAATCTCTTCTATTGTCTTTAATCACTGCAATAATGTATTTGGAAAAACCCGGTTCAATTGTCTTTGGATTACCCTTAAAATTATGCGGGTCACTCAAGTATAGTATAACAAAGGAAATAATTTATGCATAGCTTACATTTTGTTTAATACAGGTAATCCAAAAATTTAAATACTTTCCTTCTTCGAAATGTTTGTTGGTTATTATCCTACTTATTTGAATTATTTTAATGTTTTTGAACTTTGAAGAATTTTAAACACACCAATATTTTTCTCGATAGATTTTAACAAAGATAGCTTAAGACCTTTATTTTGAATGTGAAGAATTATAAATTTGTCATTAAAAGAATGATTATGATCTAGAAGGTGAAGTGGGTATGTCGGATCTGTTTTCCTATTATTGAAAGCCCTTTTATGTTCTGCTATTCGTTTATTAAAGTTTCTACCAGTTTGACCGATGTAAGTTTTTGGGCAGTCGCCACATTGAAGTTTGTACACACCACTATTTAAGTGTTTTTTATTTTGGCTCTTGTTATTTTTAATATATTTACCTAGGTTGTTATTTGTTTGGAAAGCTGGTGTTATTCCTTTCTTTTTTATGTGTTTGACTATTTTTGTTGTTATTTTGCCTGTATATGTAATCGAGCAGAAGGTACTGGGTTTTTTCTCTGGTGGTGGAAATACTAATTTCAGGGCTTTCTTGTGTAGTTTTTGATTTAACATTTTATTAATTGTTTGTTCGTTTTATCCGTTGTTATTATGTTTGTATTTCCACCACCAGAGAAAAACCCAGTACCTTCTGCTCGATTACATATACAGGCAAAATAACAACAAAAATAGCCAAACACATAAAAAAGAAAGGAATAACACCAGCTTTCCGAACAAATAACAACCTAGGCAAATATATTAAAAATAACAAGAGCCAAAATAAAAAACACTTAAATAGTGGTGTGTACAAACTTCAATGTGGCGACTGCCCAAAAACTTACATCGGTCAAACTGGTAGAAACTTTAATTAACGAATAGCAGAACATAAAAGGGCTTTCAACAAATTAAAAACACAGATATAATTCTGAATGACCAACTTGAGACAAACAGTTCTCCCCTCCTCAACCTATTTCATTAGAGACTATAAATTGTAAACGCATGCCAAAAATAGATCACTTGAGAAAGGCAATCAGCCGAAACAGCTGTAGTAACAATAGTTAAAATAAATTTTGTGGAAGTTTGAAAACAAAGTTTTCGGTGTTTTATTATTACATAAAATGAATTTCCATCAAGTAACGGTCGAATCCATCAATTATATATAAAAATACTTTAGTTGCTTGTACCTATACTTACTGTAATTTCTTAATTATTCGTTAAGAAACGTTTCCACTGAATAATATGGTCTTTCAGATAAATAGGCTTTTGTCAATATACGGAACTTAAGGAAAGAAGTTGTAGATTTAAGTTGCAAAGAGGAATGGTTGTATAATTTTTGACGAATATAATATAGATTTATTTACTAACTCAGTGGACGGGATCGGTAAATATACATCAAAGCTTAAATTTCTGGTGGAGTAGTCATGATTGGGTCTTGCTGGAAAAACATGTATAGGTGTTTACAAATTAATTAAACATTTTTTATAGGATATATAAAGAGGGGAGAGTTAAAATCCCGTGATTTTCGAAGTAACTTCTGCAATGTGTTATTCTACTGAGGCCAAAAAGATACCGTATTGCTGTTTTTTTTTTATTTAAAAATAACATCAGATCGGGCAGCTGTACTAAAACTCCAAAAAGGAAGGCCATATCGAAGATGAGACTCGAGCAAAGAACAATATGTTATTTTGGAAGATGCTAAATTGATTTCCTTCGAAACAGATCTTATTGCATAGCAGGTTGAGACTAGATTCTTACGTAATAAATCGAGATGAAGGGACCATTATTTAAGGTTGCTGTCTATAAAAATACCAAGAAATTTTACAGAATCAAGGATACTGATCTGGATGCTATTAGGAAGGGTTGAAGAATTCCTTTATATAGGATAGTGCTACTGTCTTATCCACGTTAAAAGAGAGTAAATTATAGTCGGACCATGTTTTTATTTTAAGTAGATCAGAAGTTATAATTGCATGAAGATGAAGAAGAATTCATTCCACTTACTAAAAAAGCCAATGCTAGAAGGAAGCACTTTTTAGTTTGCAAGTTCTAATACAGAGAGTCAGGGATGTTAACTGCGATGAGTATGCATGTTTTATTGATTTCGAGAAGACATTTGATAAAGTCCCATGTGGAAACTAATCGATATCCTAAAAACATCAGAACTCGATCGTAAGGATATAAAACTGATTTCAAAGTTATATCTCCATCAAAAAGCAACAGTGCTATTAGAAAATGAACTGTCCGAGATCTTCACAGTCGAAAAATGAGCTAGACAGGGTTGCATATTGTCATCGGTATTATTTAACATAAACTCTGAAAACATCTTTAGAGAGGCCTTGGACGAAACAGAAGATGGGATTGCTGTGAATGGGATGACGATATAATGCTGCTGGCAGATAGTACGCAGGGGCTCCAAAGGATGATAGATAACGTTGTAGAAACATGAAGACAAAAATAAAGATCATTAGTAAGAACACCAACATAAACGACCAAATTACAATAGGGGATACACAGTTAGAAAAAGTGGAAATGCTATTTGTCAACTGATCTGTTTCGAGCTGCTGTGAATTGAATAAGATGGGTCAATGTAGTCGTTAACATCTCCAGAAAATAGGCACATTTAGAAGAAGTATATTCTGATTTATTTGATTCAAAAAATAAACCAAAAAACTTAGTAAACTGTTTAAAAGCAATTAGATAGATCGATACTTATTCATAAATTAAGTCTTCAAATTGTTTCTTACCTCCTTGTTTAAAGGATCTATCCTGGGAGGAAGCTTATCGTTGGGCTCTTTCAAAATATTTACAGGATACTTTTCGTACTGATCGAATTCACTGTCCCCAGAATCGTTGTGATTCGAGTAACCATTGGTAATACCGTTTCCGTTATGACAACACGTCTGCGATTCTAGTTCTTGTCGGATTTTTAGGAATGTTTTGTAAGTTTTCCAAAACGATTTGTCCCATAACTGAAAGAAGCCTGTAAAGGTGGGCGGTTCTTTTTCTTGTTTTATATGGATTATCGCTATATTCATATCTCTTCCTGCTGGATCTAAAAGAGTTGACGATTCAAAGTACTATACATGTTAAATAGGCTATTATATATACTAACCTGATTGCAAATAATCAATAGCTTTTTGTGCACTCAATCTCTTTTCTTCTTTGTTGCTCAGTTTTCCGATCCACATGTATATGGAATCAGCAGTATCTAAGAGCATAACATGCTCAGGTACCAGATCTTTTTGGCTAAAAAAGAGAATTTCTTCGGCTAAAACATTAATGTAGTTAATCGTTTCTCCTTTAGTAAAACAATTTTGTATTACTTTAAAGTAATTAGAGAGTAGAAAAAAACAAGCAGAATTTAAAAAAGGAATAACCGACTGTCACAAATAGATTCCAATGGTGCAATTGGTTCGATCCAAAACTCTACATTGGAAACTAAAATCCCTACCCTACCAACCTAGCTCCCATTGTCAAGAATCTTCGAATTAACACCCACCCAAACGCTACGTCACTATCGATGGTATAAATGAACCACCCGCTGTCCTCAGTAGCACTACAGTAAGCTTACTACCAGCAATCAGCAAAATAGTAGAAAGAGTGATACTCAGCAGACTCCAAGCTGAAACAGACAGACTAAACATCATACCAGAAGCCCGATTTGGCTTCAGATCAGAACACTCTAGCGAGCTACAAGTACTCAGACGAACAGAGTACATAGCAGCAGGATTTAATGACAGACAGTATACAGGAGCTGCATTCCTGGACGTAAGTAAAGCTTTCGACAGAGTCTGGCATAAGGGACTACTATACAAAATGAGAGATTACGGGTACAGCGGAGCAATGACAAGGCTGATCTCTTCTTACTTGAGCAACCGCAGTTTCAGAGTCCGGATAGGACAAGTCCTGTCCGAACTCGGGAACCCGGAGGCTGGAGTACCACAGGGAGCGGTACTGTCACCTCTGCTGTACACGATATACACAGCAGATATACCTAGAACACCAGGTACATTATTAAGTCTCTATGCTGACGACACAGCGATAGCGGCCAAACACCGAAATGTAGATATAGCAGTCACCAATCTTCAGACAGCGTTAGACGACATCGAAGAATGGAGTCTAAAGTGGAAAATTAAAATCAATTCAGACAAGACACAAGCTGTACTCTTCCAGAAGAGGCGAGAACAACCAGAAGAACAGGTCACAGTGCAAGAAAATCCCATTGAGTGGAAAAGCGAAGCGAAATACCTCGGAGTAATAATGGACAAAGGACTAACTTTCAACAAACACGTAGAAGCCACAGTACAAAAAGCCAACATGGCAAGGGCCGCAATAAGAGGCCTAGCGGGAAGGAAAAGCAAATTACGCATAAAAACCAAAATAAGGCTAATAAACAGTATAGTCCTTCCTATACTGACATACGCATCACTTGCATGGGGACATATATGCAACACAACGAAAAAGAAAATACAGGCACAACACAACAAAAGCCTAAGAGAAGCGGTAAACGTACCAAGATACGTAGCTGAAAGATTCCTGTTCAGAGAGTTACAGCAAATCAGAGTGACTGATACAATGAAAGAAAAAGCTAGGATAAAATTCGCAGAACTAGAGAACCACCCTAGTCACATCCTACGAGAGATAATGAGGTATGACGCTTTCCACAGATGGAAGCACAAAAGACCAAAACAACAAATATTAGACTAACGCAAAACCAGAGGGAAAAATTAAAAAACCCCCCAATAGGGACAAAATATTACAAAAAGCCCAGAGTGAGAAGAAAATCTAATCAAAACACACACACATAAAGAAGACAGTTCGTAGCTCAAATCACCCAGAATATCGCAAATCGCCTCATTCACAGTGGGCCCTGTTGCTCACACTAGGATGCAGTCTACATTGTGGTAATGTATAATATTTAAATATTTTCCTTATTATAGTGTAGACTATGTACTAATTATGACTTTTCTTTTCACAGGTGACCTACAAAAAAAATCATAAAAAACACAAAAAAAACGGCTTCGGCCACCAAAAAAATTAAAAAACACTAACAAAAACCGGCTTCGGCCACCAAAAAAACTAACAAAAACCCCAAAACCCGGGCACGTAGGGCCCAACCCCCTTGAGCACCAAGTCGCCGAGCTGAGCCGGGACTCAGAGCGGAGACTTGAGGCCCAAGTAAGCAATTTTAGTTCGCGGATAAGCTACATTAAGATAAACAGGAATAAAGCGGAGATGCGCTGTCCTGAGTTTTCACATACGGTTAGGAAACCATGTTGGGGTTCAATTACCCAGGACCTCCACATGAAGAGCACTTGGCTGATTGTTGTGCCTCTATAGCGAATCAGATTGCTATAGGGGGGAAAGGGATGGTCTAGAGCATTGGAGCACGGTGGGGTGATTCCTGTTTTTAAACACGAGTTAAAACACCTTGCTCCAATGAATTGTTACACCCGATCGTACTACCTGGGTGAACATGTCTCATAGGCTGGGTTCAATCAAATTGCTTGCTTGCTTCAGTAGCACTAGTATGAGAATTGTGTACATGTGAAGTGATCTGGGTGCTCAGGAGACTTCAGAGAGAAAATCAACAGCTCGTTTTCGGTGTACTCGGTTAATTGTATTAACCGCGGAAATCTCTCCTCGCGCGAATGCAAGACAGAGATGGTAATAGGATAAACATTGAAGGTGTTTAAAGAAAAATATATGTGGAAGATTGGTTTGATCAATGAAAATGGAGATCCAGATACAATAATAAACTTTTCTAACCGTTCAAAAACAATAATTAATGAGTCGTGGAACAATACCCAATAGATTAAATGTCTCATCGGAAAGGCAAAGAGTGCATTCTTGACTATGAGTTCTGTGTTAAAGAGCCATAACTTAACCCTAGAAACAAAAATAAGGCTCATTAAATGTTATGTGTACTCAGTGCTTCTGTACGGAGTAGAAACGTGGACATTGAAGGTGGAAACTCTATCAAAACTTCAGGCTTTTGAGCTATTGTCATACAGAAGGATCTTGAAGATACCATGGACAGACAAAGTCACTAATGAACAAGTACTGCGGAAGATAAACACAACTGCCGATTTGGTCAACATCGTGAAGGGCCGTAAGTTGCAGTACTTGGGACATATAATGAGAAATCAAGGCAGATACGACCTACTTCAATGCATTTTACAAGGTAAAATTGAAGGAAAAAGGGCCCCAGGTCGAAGAAGAATATCCTGGCTTACTAATCTGAGAGCATGGTATAGGAAGACCTCAACACAGCTATTTCGTATAGCAACCAATAAAGTCATCATAGCCAGAATGATCGCCAACGTTCGGAACGGACAGGCGCCCTAAGAAAAAGAACCGTTCAAAGACACACCTGCATCAGAATTTTCAAGACTCCAGTTCGGTCATGCACTAAGGATGGGTGGCAATAGATTATTAAGAAGTTATCTGCGCAGTAAAATTATGTACAGAAGACCAATATAAAGACCAGAAAAAAGATCAAAGAATCAAGTTGCAGCGGAATGCGAAGAGGTGTGACCGCCAATGTTTAAGCTGAAAATTGCAAAAAATCAATGCCTAATTTAGACTGTAAAGCCATTAGAAGTAAGTAAGAAGAAATGACTAATAATAATTAAGAACTTAGAGGTATTTAAGCATCAAAGACTGAATTTATATAGATATGCATACCTTTAAACCTTCCTTTTGAAGAACTGCATTTAAATAATCGAGCAGGCTTTGGATCGTTCTCGTGTTTCACAATCTGCGTGGAATAAGGTGTCTTTCCACCCAATAAATTAAAAAAGTCCTCGCGTTCTTTCCCTTCTAAAATAAGCTCGAAATCCTTCCCGGCAAATGCTTTTGCCATTTCCCTTTGGTCTCCCGTTGAATACGTTCCGGACCAAATGTACGCTTTCTTCGATCGCTTGAGAACGAAGCAGTAATTGGAGTTGAACGATGAAGCCTTCACGCTGACTTGAACGGCTTTTGTGCTGTAAGATGTAGATCCGTAGACGTGGAGTAAATACTGCGATGGGATTTTTAAGTTTCTTCCAGTGTCTACGAATAAAAATACATGATATAATCAGGCAACTACGAACTACGAACACAGAGAAGCGACACCAGCACCGAAATCCGTGTACCGTTTTTGTATACGCATGCCCGAACCTGGTTGCTTTACTGTCAAAAACACGTGCTTATTCTTTAACTCTGGTTGTTTTACGACAGTCCGTAGGCGCCTGTGGTAAATACTCGACTATATAAGTGCATTTGACCATTTATCTAATTTACTTAGTAGTTAAAAGTTTATAGTTATAGTTAAAATATATAAGTTTATAGTTACAATTTATAGTTAAAAGTTTAATTTATAAGTATTTAAAATGTCTTCTGGTTATTGTTGTGCGTTTCGCGGATGATTATCTGTGCCAGGAAAAGGAATAAGTTCATTTAGATTTCCTAAGAATAATAACAGGTAATTACTATTGCTTTGTAATTATTATTAGTTATTACATAATAGTATTAGTTTGACTTTCGAACAGTAAGCCGACGCCGACGTGTCCGTCCGAGCTTTCTTTATATTAAGCGGAGCAATAAAAAAATAAACTTTGCTCTGCCAAGGGATAGTTTAAAATGAAAACATTAAATTTAATATCTCCGAAGGATCAGGTCAAAAAATCAGCAGAAGTTGGCCTGGTGTGAGAGTGCTCGACAACAATACGAATATAGTATTTTTAGAAAATAAAAATATATAGAGGGTTTTATACACGAGAATTCGTGTTCGTTAATCTCAGACACAACGATCTAGTATTTTAGTAATTATTTTATTGCGAAAGTTAGTTACATTTTAACAGACCAGAAGTGGATGACAATTACTATATTTACAACCAAGCACATATGCCCATAGCCAATATTAAGAGTAAACAGACATAAATCTTACTCCAATCAATCATTAGGTATTTATTTACACCATAATATAATTCCACAACAGACAACGGAAGATTTGACCAATCATTTAAAGGTAAATGCTCCAAATATACATTTCTACTTCAAGAAGTTAAAGGTTACGGAGTACCAAGCAATCTTTAAAGTTTCATATCCATTGGATTATAAAAATGAAGTTCTTAATCCCAGTATCTGACCTGAAGGTTCAATGGTTCATCGTTTTGACTTCAAGTATAAGAATTGTACTAACCGCAGTTAACAACAAAACCAGAAATAATTTACAAATCCGGCTTAGGCAAACTAGATACTACAAATAATTTTAAAGGCCATACCAATCAACTAAAAATCGTATGTATTAACTCTGAATCTATTGTAAACAAAATAAATTGTATAGAAATATTACTTAGAACTAAAAGTCTGGATTTACTATGTACCTATATACGAATCATGGTGTAATGACAATAATATAAATTCTTTTTATCTTCCTAATGCTCTCTTGTAATGATTCGTAGTACTTTTTTGATTATTTTTTAGGTTATTACATTTTTATATTTATAGAAATATACTCGTACAATAGTTACTTCTTGATTTTTTATTCGTTTTAGTCGAATATCGTTTACTCCGATATTCGACTTGTAAAAATGTAATTTTAATAGGTTTTCAAGACATTAACAATCGATTTCAACATAAAGTTTCTTGTTGTCGATCACAAATATTTGTCACCCAAAGAGAATTTGAATTTTTAGATTTTGTGAAATTTCCGTGGCAGTTACAATGGCTTTGTTATTTTTCGATTATATTACGAAAGATAATTTATTAGGAAATTCCACGACGAACAAATTATATCTTGTATCAACACAAGCCAAAAAATCGGTGTATTATTGGTCTATTAATGCCAACATCAGAATAAACAAAAAAGTATTTTCATCTATGGTTCCATCAATACGATTTTCACCATTACTTTGCGTTGTGCGATGTATTTGCAACCTTTTATAAATCAAAAATAATTACACCATTTAGAATGTCAACAAAAGCCGGCCCTGCATGTAATTATTTTTTCAGTGCAATATTTCATATTTATTGAAAGTCAACATAAATGCTCAATTTTATTTAAGAATTTATATTGTGTGATATGCCCACTGACTATTAGTTTTCTGGTTGCTTTCCTGTCATTGGCATTGGCACCCATTGGCGGCTAGCCCACGCAACTTTAAAGGAGTGTCGCTTTTCTGTGTTCGTTAGTTCTCTGATATAATATTAAAACTATTAGAATTTAAATTTTTTTAAATAGGCTGCAAGTTAACTGCCTAATTCCCCATGTTAAATCTCCAATGCTTAGGGCTTTTCTGTCCATTTTTAGAAATTTTAAAGGTCATATCTGAATTGCTCGATGGATGGGTTCTTAACCTATGGTTCGCAACCTATAGGTTCACATATCAATCGACGTAGATCAAAGAATAAAGCCATGTATAAAAATCAATCATACCTAATGTGAAACTTGGGAACTTGGCATTCTACGTGAGTTGTTGCCTTTTAGGTGGCATTTTATGTAACATTAATCATGACACGTGACTTTTGACGTTAAACGTGACGTTTTGACTTGACATATAAATAGATTGTTATCTTCCGATAATAAAAGAAAATGATTTTATGGCTGAAGATTTAAAAATCAAAAAACTAGAAAGTCTATTCCATTATTGGAATCAAAATTGCAATTATAGAATGACGTGAAAAAGCTACAGTTGAAAAGATATTGACATCGGCTCAGCACTTTGGTACTACTTCATAACCTGTGGGTTTTTAAACACATATAGGTTATTACACAATCTCAAGAAACGTACCATCAAACTCAACACCTCGTCCTTTGAAAATCGTTAATTTTCCTTTAAACAGCTGCAAAAAATGTGCAGTTTCTCGCCCTTGTATGATTCTGGCGTGGAATCCAATTTGACCCAGTTCTTCGTCGATTTCTATTACTTTCAAGGTAGTACTGTTGATTTCTTCTTGCGTAGCATGGGAACCCTAAAAGAATTAAGTAAAATAAATATACCGGGCAACAATTTTGAATTTTAACCTTTCAGAGATAACGTGACATGATGGTACACAAAATGTAACATCGGAACAGCAGTCCGCAAATTTAGAAAAGGTCCAAAAACAAATATTTTCGAAAAATGGTCTGAGAACTTGTCGATTTTTTAAATATATGATTAAAATAGACAAAAAAAAACATTTTCACACAAATTTATTATAACTTGTATTTAAACTCATGCATTAAAAATGAAAATTAACGGATAAGATTACTTAAAGTCGGTTCGCTATATTTACGCGGGTTTCGAATTAAAAATTTTATTGTAAGTACCCAGTTTTAATTACCTGCTCTTTGGGGAAATATCAACTGGTCAAATGAAATGAAAAACAATCCATAACTTTTTTTAATTAAATAATAATGGAAAATCTTTTATATAATTGACAGTGTAATAAGGAGAATTACTTCATTAATGGAGTCTAATGTGGCTAATATAAACCTAATAATAATTTTATATTACACTTCACACAGAAAATAAAGTCTATGTATATTTGTTCCATGGAGAGAATTTCTAATGAAAAATAAAAAAATTTAACTTGCCAACAAAATGAAAATCAGTCATTATCATCAAAAATATCATAATCGTCATCATTATCACTGCCATCACCATTAATTGTTATTATGATTGAACTTATTTCGTTTATTTTATTTTCACGAGTCCACCAATCTTCTATCAGTTTCTCGCACTTGAATATACAGTTGTACCACACTTCTGGAGTTAAAATTGAAAGTGCCTTTCGCCAAGTTTCCCGAACTGCGTCGTCGCTATAACCGTTAGGCCCAATATGGTTGTCATAATATTGTTTTGCTATTCCCCATATATATTCGATGGGATTAAACTGGCAATGATACGGTGGCAAACGTAAAACTTGATGACCGTAACTTTCAATAATCTGATCCACAACAACAGTTTTTGGTTTTGCGTGGATATTTGCCAAGCGTAATAATTCTGATTTTAAAATATGTTGTGTAAATGGTATATGTTCCTTTGTCAACCATTCTTTAATTTTATTACCAGTCCAAGAATTCGTTGGACTTTTGTTTAATACTTCAGAATGGTAAGGTACATTGTCTAAAATAATTACGCTGGGCTCACTTAAACCTGGGAGAAGTTTTTCATGTAATCATTTTACAAACATTTCTGTGTTCATATTATCGTGATAATCACTTGATTTTGATTCACATTTGAAAATATGAAATCAGCACCTTCTATAAAACCCGATTTCCCTCCTGCATGTAAAATTATGTGTCGCTTCCCTTCTCCATCAGTATGTTTGATAGACTTTACGTTATCATTTTACCATATTCTCTTGGTTGCACCCCTAGAAAATATCCATATTTTGTCTAAATATATAAAATTTGCCCTTTCTTCTTTTAATTTAGAATATTTTCTTAGAAAGTTAATTCTTTTATGCACAACAGAACTTCTTTCACAAAGGGCTTTTCTGTTACCCTCCTTTTGAAATTTGAAACCCAAGTTATGCATCACTTGTCATAGACTTGTTCTGCCAATTTCGTCAAATCTTAATTCCGAGAGAATTGTATTTAAGGTCACATGTTCCTTGTTGGATCGCATTCGATAAATGGTATCACGAATTTCAATTTTTTTTTCCATCTGGAATATCTTTTGTTTTCAATGATAGGCGAGTTTTTCGGTGATCTTCTTTCTGCCGTTCATTATTGCGATTTTGTAATACTCCTCTTAGATTGGTTTCACTAATTCCTAGAGCATCACATACGCGTTGTTGAACAGACATTACCGATTTTAAAGGACCGCCATTTTCTTTTTCATCCAAAAAGACCCAATAGTACCCTAAGTTCTAAAATGTCTGTCTTTTTTGCAGATTTATTACTGAGATTGTAAGAATACAGTTGAATAAAGATATTCGTGTTGTCTACAATGGTTTGCAACATCTCTTCAGTATTTTAACCTTTATTAGGTAAATTGTCACTGGGAGTTTGTATCCGGCGCACAGTGGGGCAAGAGACAACATAAGTTGGCATTAAATCATTGTCAATATATTATAGCCAAATTAAAAAAAATGTTGTTAGTGGTGTATACATATACAAAAACGATCTTTTTTCAAATGTTTTCTTCTTCTTCTTTCTGTGCCTATCAGTGATGAGTGTTGTCGGTCATCATGTCAATCTTTATTTTATCTACAGCAGCGCGGAAAGGCGGCACAGATGTTGTGTTGACGCAGGTTTTCAGGTTATTTAACCAGGATGTTCTTCTTCTTTTTGGACCTCGATTTCCAAATATTTTTCATTGAAGTATGGCTTATTCAAATGTTTTGCTCAAACTTAACTTTCAAAGCTGCATGTACCTGGTTATTACTGATATTGATTTAAATGATATCTGAAGTTTAACAATTTTCATTCTAATTAATTCTATACTCTAATGTACATACTTGTTTTTATGTATATTTGTTAAGATTCATATCTCAAATCAACTGTTTTAACATTGTTTTAGAAAAATTACCCAACTAAATTGTTCTTTAAAAGCATTTACCGCACATATTTATATAGAAACAACATAGCATTTTGTATGTAATATATTAAAAAACTTAAACTATAGATACGGCCAGCATATCAACACCAGGGAGAATCAGTCAGGGATACAACCTCAGCCCATTTCTATTCAATATGCTAATGGATGAAATAATAGAATATGTGGAATCTCTACAACTAGGATACGGATTCGGTCACAGTAGAATCGGTATAGTGTGCTATGTGGATGGTACAGCCCTGATTGCAGATGATGAGGATGGCCTAAAAAGGAAACTTTATTGATTCTATCAAGCATGTCAACGACTCAACATGAACATATCCACGCAAAAAACAAAATGCATTACCACTGTGAAATACCCAAGTAGATGAAAGCTCGTGGTAGAGGGGAAACCCATAGAACAGCTAAACCAGTTTAAATATCTAGGTTTGGACTATCAAGTTATCATGACCCAGCCAGAGACCTAAGAAGACAAATAAACAAGGCCGAAGTCATGTCCGGATATTTGAGAGATGTGGTTTGGAATAATCCATATATGTATGAGAATGGATAGCAAAGTTATAATTTACAAAACTTGCATCAGACCTGTTATCAACTATGGCATTGAATCAAGATAAGACACCAGTAAAACCAAAAGCATGCTACGAACAGCCGAAATGAAGGCACTAAGAGCAATAGCAGGGAAGACAAGAAGGGATAGAATACGAAACGACATCATCAGGGAACAATGTGGCGTGCGAGATGTAGTAAGATGGGATATGCAAATACGAAGAGAATGGTTCAGTCACGTAAAAAGAACGGAGGAGCACAGACTAACAAGAATTGCGCTAGAAAGAAAACCAGCTGGCAAGCGTCCACCGGAGAGACCACCAAAGAGATGGAAATATAGTATAAGAAAAACAAGAAGAAATTATAGATCATCATCAGAATCGTCAGATGTGACATTTTCACTTGCACTGCTGCTATCATCTTCAACATCTTGCACATTCGGAGCTTTCAACATATGTAGTGCTTCCACTGGCAGGTGCTCTAATTTTTTTCTTTTAATATTTCTTTGCATGTGATCAGTGGATCACTACTAATTAGCGAAAAGTGGAATACATCTTTATTTGTTTTTGATCTGCTACACTTCCTTAAATTGTGTTCTCTGTATTTTTTGAAATCTTTATTCCGTGCCTCTTGTGCCTCCTCGCTTAGTTGCCCTATAGGTAGCAATGCAGAGGCTATCAACTCAGGGCCGTGTATGAGATACTTGTGCATGGTTGGTGGCATGTTATACCATGGATACAATGATACAAAGTATCTGGCAGTGTCATGAAGATAGAGTCGAAATTTGTTGACATCGATTTCATGTCCACTAGCAACAACTACCATCACAATATGGATTTTTTTAATAAGTTCTAAGTCAACATTTGTTATTTCTGCGGACAACTTTGCATTTCTACAAAATCTTCTGGCGGTGTTTCCGTCGTTGGTGTTGCCGAATCTCGGTTTAGGTGTATCAACAACTAGGCCACATTTTTCTCTAAATTCTTTTTGAATTCTTGCCTTATTTTCAGCCACTACAATTTTATCATTTCCTCGAGCCTGCCATTTTTGTATTGGCATTTTATATGCAACATGCAAGATGCATTTAAACATACGAATCCAACCGTGCAAAACTGACAAACCGAAACTTAAGTTTTCCGTTTTGACACTTCTGCCGATCATTTCTTCAACGTTGCTAAACTTCTTCGATGTTGCACCACATAAAAAGCACTTCTGAGTTGAAGTTGTCTCCGTGATTGCATTGCAGACTTTTCCGTCTCCATAGCGAAAATAAGTTTGTGACGTATATGGACATTCCTGTTGTTAACTGTAGTAGTAGAGTTGCAATTCATCTATTTCAGCATCGACTCTTTTTTTTTCTGCAATGGAAACTTGCGCAGACTCTTTAACGAATTCAGTTTTTAATGGTCTACAGTAAACAGTTGAGGCTGAGCTAGGGTTTTGCCAAATCACCTTTGCGTTACACATAAGTCGCACAGGAACTATGCATGTGATGAACACAGCGGAGTCACTAGCTTCTGGTCCATGAAAGGCTTGTTTGTAGAAACTGTGCCCAGAGGAACCATCGAACCCCCATTTTGAGTAAAGACATAATTTATCTAATTCAGAGTCTTTAACGTGTTTCGCCACTACCTGTTGAATATTTTGAACTAACCTCTGAACGGTATGATCGAGTAAGTTCTGTAAAGGAACGCTTACTGATGTTTCTGTAGATGTGATATTATCAGGATAGCACATTCTTTTGGCAGACTGAACGACCTTGTAAGAAGGAAATCTATCCGGGGCACTAGCTCTAACCACGCCATATTGGTGTCGAGACAATTTTCCGCTAATTAAAACAGCAAGAGTGTCTTCTCCTGACATGATTTTTGGCTTGGAGTCTAATGAAGTTTTGTATGCTTTTTTATATCTAGCGGCTCGGGTTGGAGTAGTTGACGTAATATCTTTAAGTATTCTAGAAGCATCTATATGGTCTTCTGCTCTGAAACTCATCTGTGTAGCATAGCTTAAAACCGAAGCTGATGTAGAATCGCGTAGTTCTTTGGTTTTTAGTCGTTTTGTACATTCAGAACTACACTCAAAACTCACTTCTGGGCGAACACGTCTGTTTTCGTTCTTTTGGGAAAATGAAAGAGGTTTATTCAGCCACTCTTTATTATTTCTTTGAAATCTGTCATCCATTCTGCACGCTTTTAACCAACGCGACTTATATTGTGTCTTAAAATGCGATAGTGATTTTTTTACCTCATAACATTTCGTTAGCTGTGCGATCTCGGCTTCTAAAAATTCAAACTGTTTTTCTATTCTTTTGCTGCTACATCTTCTCATGATGCTAACAAGTTCTTTTCTTGTCACAAACATTATACAAGCATTAAATCCACTAAAACAATTTGTAATGGATCGAAAGAGGCGTTATCAATTACACTTGTAATTATAGTTTATTATTGAGTAGGTACACCCGGGTACACCACATGACTACATAAGTACTGTCATTGAAACTGACAGACGGGTAGAGATGGAAGTTGGCAGACGGCTAGAGATGAGAGTGCCTGCAGATATATAAATACATAACACAAATAACGAAATATTAAAAGTCAGCTTCACGGTGATGTTCAATTTAATTAGGTTAACATAACCTCACAAAAAATAACATTATGAAAAAAGGTGCAAATATGTGCAAAAAGTTAAAATGACCTTTGAAAGAATAATACTCAAGCTTTCAAAATAAAACAAAATTAAAGTTTGATCAGTCTTGGAACACTAACAAATCACTTGCTTTTTTTTAAAATTCATATTTGGATATTTCGTACAGGTAATTTTAAACCACGTATTATAAGAAACTATATTTACTTAATTATTACATCACATTTGTAATAATATTGTCACTTTACTGAAGATCAAATATCCGTAGCCAATTTTACTATTAAATTAACTTTTGACTTGAAATAAGTGGATCAAACGTAAGTCGAATCACGTTATTGCGGCCTATGCATTGTTAACACGGGACTATGTGCCTTTTGCGACGCGTCGCAAGGGTGGGGGGTGGGATTGAATTGGAAAAAATGATGCCAAATCATACGCAGGATTGTGTACATTTAATTAAAATAAAGGCGACAGAAAATATTGCATTCCGTATTTTCATTTTATGCCAACTTTTCAGCTCTCCTGCCCCACTGTGCGGCGGTTTGCTACATGTTTCTTCCATTTAGTTGTTCCATCCTTACCAATGAAATGCGACACTCTTTGTGGAATATTCAAGACTTTTGAGATTGGCTTCTCAATTTCTTCTTCCATGTCGGTGTCGTGGTTCTGTTTCTCTTCCAAATCTCCTTCCAAACTAGCATCGTTATCGTCAGGTTCAACTTCTAGCTCAGAATCAAAGAGAAATTCCACATGAAGCTGTTTAAAATATGTTTCCTGCTTTTTAAAACTCATATTTAAAAAATCTGTAAAAAATAAGTTAATATCAATCAAATATACAGAAAACATAATCAGTAGATCACACCCAATTAAAAATTAAATAAATATTTTTTTAATAAAATTTAATAAATTGAATCTTACCTGAAGATTTGTGACAACTTGTATAACGTGCGGACTCACGTTCCGCAATTCAGTATAGCAGCAGGCAGCAGAACTAAATGCGCTAGACAACTCTCACAACTGTACTTAATCTCTTCGCTTGCATCTAGCGAGTACGCCACTAGCGAAATCATAATACATAACTCGTCAGAAATCGAAACAAATAATTCGATAATCAGACTGATAGTACACACGTTAACTCTGAAAGGTGTTAAATAAAAATCATTTTATCTGATTGAGACTTCTTAAAGTTGAAATGCAAAATAATAATCTTGAATTTCACAGATAGTCTTCCCTTTATGCTGCTTCTTCAAGAATATAGTAAAATGGTGCTTTTAAAGTAAAAAATACTCACAAATTTTGAACAATTCAGTATGTTTAGTTCAATTTTACTATAATAAGTAATAATTTACCTTTAATAAATAAAATAATGGTTGCCAAAATAAAAAAGACTGCAAAAACAATGGTTGCCAACTGTTAATCTGTATATAATTATCATAATTTTGAAAGTATCAGCAAACATTTGTAACTGTATAATGTTGGAAATATTACAATAAATCAGGAATTTATTCAGGCTGTTGTAATTTTTTATTTGATTTATTTACTTCTTTTCTTCTGTTAAATTTAATTCGCCTTAATATGAGCAAAAGCTGTTCTTTGTTGTCCGTTTTTGTATGGTTCTAAAAAGTTTTTAGTTTTCTTTTAATTCGCAGTACAGTATTTACTGTTTAACACATGGCGACCTTTTTGTTTTAACTCTGTGATTAAATTGTTAATAATTGTCAATAAAACAGATCTTAATAATTTCAAATATATTTTATCTCTTACCAGCCAACAATATAAAAGGTGTTTTTGGTCACTTGCAGTTTGATATGTATACAGAATGATATAGCAATCTCCCGAGAAAAAATTTCCGTGTCTTTCTTTAGGTATTTCGACAATACGACTCTGGTTTATGCGCCATATCGTAAGACTACCAGTTCCATCATCAATGAGTTGTGTTTCGGCTGCCAAACTAGGTCTATCTTCCATTGTTACTGCGTCGTATCGGGAGACCAATATGGAAGGTTTTAAAACTAAAAAAAAATCAATAATTACTAAACTACTTAAATAAATACCAAATAAATATATGCCAAACCGGCTTTAATAGACCCCAAACTCAAACAAACTCTGCTTTTAACAAACAGCCAGACCCCGATTCACCTTAGAAAAGCTCTTTAATATCAAACAACAAAAGAAAGCAATTACAACGAAAGTATATACAAAGAAAATATAAAATATTACCCTTACTATAAACAAGAAAGCCAAGAATATGAGGAAGTTGTAAATTTTCAAATATTTCAATTAATTCAAGGATTTCCTTAATCCTTATATAGCTAATAAATTCTACAAAAATAATATTAAATATGAACCAATTATAGTTACATCGATTTTTTCAGAATAATTCTTTTCTATCTAAATCTTTTTCTAATCTAAAAAATTATTTTTTTACAATCTGGTATGTAGCTTACTCATTTTAAGACAACTTAATAAAAATATAAGTTTGACGTTAGTACACTTTTTAAATTGTCAGTAAGGGCGGACGCAATTCTTTCGTTCTGGTACACTGGACACTCGACAATTATATGTTTTACAGACAACTGAGTGTTGAACTTGGTACACATCGGAGCAGACTCCTGGTTGAAGATATGCTTGTGGGTAAAGAAAGTATGTCCTATTCGGAGTCGGTTGATGATGACTTGGTCTTTTTTATTACTTGGTAAGATGAGTTTGGTTCCTACTTGATTTAGATATTCTTTGAGTTTGTTGCCAGTGTGATCCCAAGTAGTTGGCCACGCTCTGTACTTATAGACTTTGATATTTACTTTGTGATCAGTCCAAGGCATTTGATTTATGATAGCAATACTTTGGTCGGTTGTTGCATTGCTTGCCAGAGACCTCATTACCACTTGTTCCCATATGGGAAGGTACCCAGATGAAGGAAATAAGTTTCAAAAAAACCGAAGTCTCAACAACTAAGTTAGTACAGAAATAATTGCTATTAAATAGTAAACTACTAGCAAACATACTTACCTCTATTGTCAGATTTCCATGAAGTAAATAACATTTTAAATTCCTGCGGTTCATAAGTATCCACAACGCGTGTCACTTTGGTATTGGCTGGATATTTTTTCTTCTTAACAAAGCCTCTTGCGTTTCTTAAAGCTTCACTTCTTTCTTTTTCGCTGACTTTCCTCCCTACCCATACCCAGATACCATCAATTTCTTGGTCTAATATGTAAACATCCTGAAAGAGAATATTAAATCACAATAAAAAAATTGGTTGCAGATTCCATTTACTTGAATTAATGTACAGAATTTTCAAAAACAGAATAAAAAGAAAAGTGGTATTAAATTTATTATTTCTTAATATAAACTTACTTCATAGTGTAGATCCTGTTGTACAAAAGGCCCTGTTTTTACCTCAGCCACCCTGTATTTACCGTTAACATCTGCGCATTTGTACAATCTCATTGAAGATTTGTGGTAGTTGCCATTTTCGTCGTTTTCGGAAAGCTCGGGTAAAACGACTCGTTTTTCCAGAGGTAAATATTTGTTAAACTCCTTTTTAATATCATCTTGTAGAGTTTTTTCGTAACCGTCGTCCACGAAGGCCAAATTAGGGATTTTTTGTTTTTCCTTCATATCTTCCACGATCTATGAAAAGAAACAGGACGTTGTAAAAGACAAGATTTAGACACGTTGTTGAAAAAAAGAAAAGTCATTTTTAAATAGTCATTTTCACTTTCTAAACTGTACTAATGGTTGATTTAATGCAATTGATTATGACATAATAAACTAGTATTTAGGCAGAACAGTTAATAGAATATACTATGAAACCATCTTACTGTTGTGGCGTGTAATTTTTCTACAGCATCTGCAGCTCTTCCGGACCAAACAAAAATTATTTTTGGCGTTTTTATGACGAAAATGTCCTGGCTATTGAAATGTTCCCAAGAGACACTAGGCATTTCTTTGACAACGGGAATTCTTTTGCCTCTAACTCTGTATAACTTAACAGGCTGGAAGTCGTTTATTATCTCCGGTTTTAATATCCTGAAAAATAAAAAAAATCTGATATGATAAGATAAATGGCCCAAATTATTGACTGATCTCGACAAGAAAAAGAACAGTAGGCGGATATGGAACAACTTATTAATATTCTAAATAATGACTTCGCTGCATCACCTACAGATCTCTCAAAAGCAACTGCTAACCAAACAGAGTTATGAAATGGAGTTCAGTAATCAGTTACAGTAACATGGCTAACATCTCTCTAATAACTCTCTAGCAAAGCTTCTACTTGAACGTGTTGAATTTACCTCGATTGTTGCACAAAATTTGTGTATCCCCGTATTCTCTTTCCTCTACTTTTTCTGGTGACGCTTCTTGAGCGTGACATCTTCTGCAATTTTTGGGGCAATAACAAGTCTCAAAATTTTTAATAATATTATGAACTGACTGTACGCAAGAAATTGATCTTTCCTCAAAAAACACAGAAAAGGAATCTACACACTGTTGTCCAGAATTACTACCATAAATATATTTTATTATTTGATGTTTTTCTGCGGACGTATAAACAGACATGTTGTTTACAAAAATAACGACTGGGCACTGGGCACTGGGATACTGGGCAACGGCGGTTCGTGGAAAGTTGACGGCGCGCAGTGTTGCCATTTATAAGGTGTATATCTAATTTAAAACTTAAGGTACGGTACCATAATAGAACTTTATATTGTGATCGGGAAGTAAAGAAGATTTCGAATATAAAATTTAATACAGGGTGTACATAAGCTTGGTCTGCCACTGTGTTATCCAACACCTGTATATATAATTGATATGAGATTGAATGCTCGAATAAATGAACTTTGAAAATTAAGGCAATTATATCGAGCACAAGCTTAATTAAATCTTGCCCAAGTACTTTCGCTTAATATAGCATCTTCAGGGACATTTAGTCAAATATGGGCTATCCAGCAAGCGTAGAATGTGATGAACATGAATGTTATCATAAAATTGTACAAACACTACACTAAAACAAGGACAAACAGTTTAAAATTAGTTAAAATATTTCTACGCTCTATAGAGAAATATTAATACGCTCTATAGAGAAAGACCGTAGAAATATTTTAACTAATTTTAAACTGTTTGTCCTTGTTTTAGTGTAGTGTTTGTACTTGGGCAAGATTTGATTAAAGTTGTGCTCGATATAATTGCCTTACATTTTCAAAGTTACCTGTATATATGTCTCGGTAGTAACCTAGTCACCATTCTAAATTACATTTTATTTTCGGTTTGATCTTGCCAATTGGCAAGAACTTGTGCTGTAAAGCCGCGTTTTCACGATGACAATTGGCGAGACAATTGTCATTGGACAATTGTCATCACGTGGTTTCGGATTGTCGGAGCCCAGTCCAGTTGAACGAGAAGATGTTTATACTGGGCCAACTATTGCCATGGCAGTAGACAGCTAAAACATGACAACTATATGTTTGTGCGTCACAGTGTTGCCACATTTTTTTGTATAAAGTATAGGAGTTTTTAAAATAGAAAGATACTTTGACACGAAATTGTATATAATGTTTTAAAAAACTTATACAGAAGTAAAATGCTTCACACTTGTATTTAGGTATATATATATATATATATATATATATATATATATATATATATATATATATGTATATATATCCGGTTTTTTAGGCGTTACGCCCGTCCGATAGGGATCTATGGACGAGTATCACCAAGCCGCAAGCCCTTATCTTTTGCCGTACTGCTCCACCATAGGCCGATCAGATCCCAGCATATCCTAGTCTAAGCCGCAGATTCATCTAGAATTTTAAACTGCTGCGTTAGACTTTTTGTTTTCAGTACACCGAGCTGGGGCTCGAACCCACATCCACTGAACCATTCGACAGTGAAGCGAATGAGAGGCAGCCGCACAGCCCGCTGAGCTATCTGACCGGTTTAGGTATATACTTAGGTAAATGTGAAGTGTTTTACTTCTGTATAAGTTTTTTAAACGATGGTATACAGCCAACTACTGGGATTTTCCCATTAATTTTTATATAATGTTTTGTTATGAGAAGCCACAATTTTTGAATTCAAATTAAAAAGCATTCATAAAATAGTATTTTTTACTTTAAATATAGCTAAGTATTTAGTGTATTTTTATGTTTAACCTAATATAAGTATTTTAAATGTAAGATATAATTTTATTTTATAATATTTATAGGTATAATTTTAAGGCTTTTAATTAAATATCTATTTTTCACGTTTTTGTTTAATTACATATGTATTTTTCAATTTTAAATTTTCATTTCATATATTTAAATCTTGCCCATAATTTTATATATGAGAGTGTGAAATAATTGAGTATATGTCAACACTGACGTATATTAAACTTACATTTAACGTCAAACATATCTATAGGTTATGTTCATTGTACGAAAATTAAATTTAACCCAAATAACACAAATTACTACTGGCAGCACTACTGGCCTACACCGTTCACACGGCACCAATTGTCGCGACAATTGAGATTTCGAGTGGTGGAGGGGCTAACTGGGCGCAGCTCATTGTCCTCAGTCTATTCCCGGAGACAACTGAATTTTGGGCCAATTGTGAGGGCAGTTGGCAAGGCAATTGGCCTGAAGTGTTTACACGAAGACAATAATTTCATGCCAGTCAGTTGTCTTCTGACAATTGTCTCGCCAATTGCCATCGTGAAAACGCGGCTTAAGAGAGAAATAGATATCGAAAGGTAAAAAGTGGGCATTAGAATGATCTTACCTTATTCCGTTTTTAAAGTAGCTCAAAAATCGTGCACTTTCATATCCTTCTGTTTCTCTATGTTGAACAGCATGTCCGTTTAAATAATTGTCGATTTCGACGGTCTTGTAAGCTGCTACACCTGATCTGTCGGGATTAGTTTGTGATCCAAGCCAAAAATGCACGTGGTGTTCTATAGAACCTTTAGTTTCTTTACTCTAAAATAGCATTTGTTTATTTCAATAATTAAACATGTTTTAAATATATATTGTACACTAAAAATCACAAATCTGTTTGGCTAATGCGGTTTTTTAAGGCTAACAACCTCTCAAAAGGCTAGCAACATTTTAAATAAAATAAAACAAAACCGTGGAACGGTAGATCATGCAGTCATTGCAAATCCTAATTCTTTATAAAAAAGAAGACTGTTCTCTGAAATGAGAAATCAGTAAAAATGACAAATTTGAACGTCACTACATTTATTATAAACGAATAATATACGAACTAGAAAAAGAAGGGAAGGACTTGCATAAAGACATAATCCATTGCGACACATTAAGTACGTATTTCCTCTCTCTCTCTCTCTCTCTCTCTCTCTCTCTCTCTCTGTCTCTTCCTCCTCCCTCCCTCCATCTCTCACTCTATCTCTATCTCTCTATCTCTCTCTCTCTCTTTCTCTCTCTCTCCTCCCTCTCTCTCTCTCTCTCATCGGGATCTCTCAACTGAACCTAAAATATCCACTGCAAGTCGTTCAAAAGAATCTACAGAAAGATATTGTGACATTTTACTACGATTTCTTGTCTACCATTACATACATTGTAATTCTTTACAGATCTTCTACATCTTGGCGACAATTGATCCATTAAAATCTGTCCGGAACTCTACCAAGTGTTCTTTTGACTCCAAAATGTCTTACAGAAACGCTAAGTAATAAAATAATATTTTATTTTATAAAAATAATACTTAGCACTTATACAATATACCTTATCCTTTATAATAAAGTGCATATGCATTTAGTAAAAGTGCATATTTTCCGGGATACCACAATATAGACAAATATCTGAGAACGCAAGTAATGCAATTTAGCAAGGTAGGTAAAAATATCCCTCGGAAGTACCCCTTATTGGTATTAGCAAATGACAATATGGGCAGTAAAACGCGATAAATAACAAATTATCAGAATTTGTATTAGCACAAGACAAAATGCAAATGTCGTTCTGTCCCTAGTTACAGTTAGTTTCTTTGGTTCAGTAAAGTTGTGTTCAAGTGTTTATCAAAAGTGTTTAAAAATGCCAAAACAAAGTGCAAGTAAATCAATTAAATGTAGATTGATAGTAAAACAGAGTTCAAAATCTTTGATGCCAACCATATATTTACCCCATGTCGTTGAGAAATGTGATGTTTAATTCAGACATAGAAAATGATTTTAAAAATTATCATATCATATTTACAGATGCATCAAACAAAGACGAAAAAACGTCCTGTGCATTTTCTGACCATACACAAGACTATTTCGAGGCTAAAAAACTTCCGAGTGAATTTTCAAGTTATTCAGCTGAATAACTCACTATATTAGAAGCATCAAAATATATTAAAAATAATTTATTTAATAAAAAAAATTTTTTAATAATATCAGATTGTAAAAGTGTTTTACATAAACTTTCAAACATATCTACTAATATTAATATTAATTATATCTTACAAAATATATTAATCAATTTTAAATACTTGTATGAGGAAGGAAAATAGTAAGTTTGTTTGGGTTAAAGCTCATTGTGGGATCATCCACAATGAAAAAGTAGACATACTGGCCAAGGAAGCATTAGATTCCGATACTGTTGTAAATTATTCATTAGTTCCTGAAGACCTTTATATTATTTCAAAAAATATAATTAGGCAGGAATGGATGAATAAATATGATCATTCCACCAAGGACTTTTTTATAAAGGCATTCAGCCGAAAATTCCTACCAAACCATGGTTCTGTAATTTTATAACAAAAAAAGTTGCAATCAGAATTATCTGTAGAATTCGATTTAATCATTCCCTAGCACCATCTCACTTATTTAAATTAAAAATTGTAAATTCCTCAAACTGCGAATGTGGAGAATATGGCACGCTAGAACATATGATATTAAATTGTAGTAAAAATAAAATAAAGACCAATATTTTTATGGAAAATAAAAATTTTAGTAAAACCCATCAACCTTTATGGGTTAACAGTTTCTAACAATTTAGAAGTTTATAAGTTGCTGTATCAATACATAAGCAGTTTAAAAATAAGAATATGAAACAATAATTTATAAAGACCAATGTATACCAAAACTTGTATATAAATGAAAAAAGAAAAAAAATATAAAAAAAATTAAAAAAAAAGAAAGCATTTTAACAAGAAAATATATATATATATATATATATATTATATAATATATAATATAATATATATATATATTAAACAATATTAATAAAAAGAAAATACAGAAAAATATTGCAAATATTAAAAAAAAATAAAATAAATAAAAAAATAAAAAAAAATAAAAAAAAACACTGCTTGCGGAATTGGATAATACTGGATAAACAACCATTGGGCACTGGATGCATGGATACGAGACTGGATACCTTCTACTAGAAAATTGTATACAAAATTGAATAAAATTAAAAAAATAATAAATAAATAATAATAATAAATAAATAAAAAATATGATGTTTGTAAGTTTATCAATTGTATAATGTAGAATTTTTAACGTAGTGATATTGTTTTAAAAATATTAATAATGTAAATTTTAAATATTAATAGATTTTATTTTAATCATTGTTAAGAATCAAAGTCAAACATGATTAGGCGAATGAAACCATAGGTTTCGCAGTCAATATTCCAAGCACACACACACACACACACACCACACCACACCATTTATGTTTCACGGTTTGTAACAAACCGGTAAGTATTAGGTTTAATTGAATTATTGTTTTAATTTTTCAATATTTTTCTAAAAATATAAGCTAATTATAATTTTACGTTAAGATGTAAGTTTTAGAATAGGACAGTCATTCATTATGAAAAACTTATTTATTTTAATGCACGGATTTTAAAATTATTATTACCAAAGCAGTAAGCATGGTTTTAACACTGGCTTTTTCGTCATAAATTAATACGTTGTCAAAACAACAGTCTGTGTTATTACAAAGCTTTATTATAAATATTCCCTTAATCTTAATTATATCAAAACAATACTTACCACCATATCAACCCCACAAGGTTGTCCATATAAACAAGCTGCATAAATAACATAAGAATCTGACGTATAAAAAGTACCATACTGGTCTTTTGGGATTGCGATTATATTCATATTCTACAAAAACATCTTTTATGAAAGAATTCTGTATTAATTTTTCGTACCTTACCTCCACTTTCCATATTAAAAAGTTTGTTGAATTCTTGTTAATTTTCCTGAATGCGCTATCGATGGAGCTGATGTCGTAGACTGAGGAATCGTCCTGTAAAAAACGGTTATTATTAATATTAACTGAGTTTTTAAAACAATTAAAAAAAGCTATAAAAATAAACAAGTAGGAGAGGAATTTGTGTCGGGTCAGAGGTTGAGCAAACTCTAGTTCGAGTGGTGAATGTATTAATTTTTAATAAAACATAGTTAAAAAAAAACAAGGAACCAGAATAAAGTGAGGACTTATTAACAATGTATGAGAAAAACTAGCTGAGAAAATGAACAACCTAATCAAAACTATGTGGGAAAGGGAAAGGTCTCTGAATCATATTTAAGGACTGGGTGTACGATTGTTTTGTAGAATTTTATTTTTGTCTTTCTCAATATAATTGTGGATTTATTGGCGAGGAACCGCAAAGTGGGCGACGCCTGGTGGTAGATTTCAAAAGCATCAATTTCGGGAAAACATTGAAATTGTCATTATTTTGTATACATATTAGCGACCGGTTTGTATTGTAATTAACAATAACTTCGACTTAAAATAACTATTGCAGTATTCCTCAATGTTTGGCAATGCATTTTGTAAATTGGCAAACATATAACCAAATACGTGACTGTGCAGTTTACATTTTACTGAGAACAATTACTTTCCAAGTGTTGATTAAAATATTATTTATATTTTAATATGTTTATACTTAATTTACTTTATAGTAACACCTGAAACTAAATTAAGAAGACTGAAGAAAAATGCTATTCCATCAGCTAAATTGCCCTAACTGTCTTGTGAAGTTATTAGTAGAAAACGTAAGGCGTAATTTACAAAATATAACGTGGCCCAAAAATCACAAATTTGTCTGGCTAATGCGGTTTTTTAAGGCTAGCAACCTCCCAAAAGTCTAGCGATATTTTAAATTAAATAGAATAAAACCGTGGAACGGTTCAGTGGAACAGATCATGCAGTCATTGCAAATACTAATTCTTTATAAAAAAAAAAGACTATTTTCTGAAACAAGAAATCAGTAAAAATGACAAATTTGGGCGTCACTACATTTATTATAAACGACTAATATTCTAACTAGAAAAAGAAGGGAAGAACTTGAATAAAGACATAATCCATTGCGAGGCATTAAGTACGTATTTCCCATCGAGCAATAAGACAAAAGAGGGAATCTAATTCTTATGAAAAGGAGACCAAAAAAGTGGCCTCTGATGGCGGACATATCCGGAAATGCGAATGCGCGAAATTTAAATTTTCCGACACTTATCAACAGTAGCTATATAATATTTTTCAGAATGTGTCTTAGACGAAAAAGTTTTAATTAATTATTAGTGATAAGAGTCTAAAATGCGACACAATTGTTAAAAAACTTCAATATAAATAAAATTTCATGTGACATTTGGGACAAACAATAACATAACCCAACTAAATTTGATGTCAAACAAGGAGAGAGACTCTCTTTCCTTGTTTAATGTGGCCTCTAAAGATCGCACTTCCTGTCTAACAATATGTTTGCCCCCACTACCTTTACATTCCCTCTATTGTCTTTTTGCTCGATGGTATTTCCTCTCTGTATCTCATCGGGATCTCTCAACTGAACCGAGAATTATCCACTGCAAGTCGTTCAAAAGGCTCTTCAGAAAGATATTGTGACATTTTACTACGATTTATTGTTTACTATTACATAAATTGTAATTCTTTACAGATATTCTACATCTCGGCGACAATTGATCCATTAAAATCTGTTGGGAGCTCTGCCAAGTGTTCTTTTTTACTCCAAAATGTCTTACAGAAGGCTAAGTTATAAAATAATTTTTTATTCTATAACAGTAATAAACGAATAAAATAGAAAATAAAACAAGCTAAGGAAACACGGATGTCCAATAAATGTCAAGAAATTGAGGAATGTGATGCAATGTATGACACTTTCAACACCCATAAGAAGGTTAAAGAAATGATTTCAGGAAATCGTAACAAACCAATCGGGATATTAACAAATGCAGATGGTACCACTGTAACTGAAACGCAAGACAAATTACGTAGATGAAAAGAATACATTGAACACATATTTTATTACCAAAAAGTAGAACAATTAGAGGTTGACGGAGAAACCACGGAACCAGAAATAATGAAGGAGGAAGTTATTTCTGGTCTAACTGATCTAAGTGAAGATCAGTTAGATCTTTTTTGCTAACTGCACTATAACACAAAAATTTATTTTTTATAGCATCTGTAAAAAATGTTTTATAAATGTGAGGCAATATATGACACTTTCAACACCCATAAGAAGGTTAAAGAAATGATTTCGGGAAATCGTAACAAACCAATCGGGATATTAACAAATGCAGATGGTACTACTGTAACTGAAACGCAAGACAAATTACGTAGATGAAAAGAATACATTGAACACCTATTTTATTAACCAAAAAGTAGAACAATTAAAAGTTGACGAAGAAACCACGGAACCAGAAATAATGAAGGAGGAAGTTATTTCTGGTCTAACTGATCTAATTGAAGATCAGTTAGATCTTTTTTGCTAACTGCACTATAACACAAAAATTTATTTTTTATAGCATCTGTAAAAAATGTTTTATAAATGTAACATTTTTACTTCGTAATAATATATTAAAAGTGGATGTTTTAAGTTAGTGCCTAATACTCTTATTTTCTTTTAGACGATGGATATTTCAAGAGGAAATCCACACAAGACAGGCTACACACAAGGAGAATCTAGAAAGAAATCACAGGGAACATCTTGAAATTGCAAATGAGTTAAGGAGTGAAATGAAGGCTGATCTAATATGCGCGCAAGAGGATGAAACACTGGAGACCCTGACTTTTGACCTCCAAAAGACTCATCCTTTACCAAAAATACCGACTGGAGTCGCATATTACAAAAGACAATTAAATTTACTTAATTTGGGTATTTATGTCGGCAGTACAAAAAGAGGTATTTTCAATGTATGGACAGAGCAAGAGGGAGGCAGGGGAACACAAGAAGGTTCATGTCTGCGTAAATATATTAATGAAAATATAAAGGCACCCGTAAATGAAATTAATTCTATGGTGTACCTATTCCTTGTGGGGGCAGAATAGAAGTATTAAGCTAGTGTTAATGCTTATTCACATACTTCAAAACCATACGTCCCTTGAATTCATTTCGTTAAAATTTTTACTTTCTGGTCACAGTTTCCTGCCAAATGATTCACATTTCGGAGATGTCGATGTTCTTAAAACCCATCAAAGACTGTACACTGACAACGATTACATAGAAATAATGAGATCTTGCCGAGTAAAAAAAATTGGTTGTAAACCGTCTGAGATCAGAAGAAATGGTTTCAGTTAGTCTTTTGCTACAATCCATAACAAATCGCAAAACAGATATAAATAAGGATGTTATTAATTGGCTAAAAACACATGTAATACATGTTACAAAGGAAAGTCCCACAGTTTTGTACATGAAAAAACATGTGAGAGATCAACAATTTTCGGAGGTAAATATTGAAAAATCAGGTAAAGGTCGAAAACCCGTTTTAAAGAATGTAGAGTTGCCTCCCTTGTAGCCAAATGGCAAACCACTGTCCGCTGAAAAAATTCTTCTTCTTCAAGTTCAACTCCTATCGGAGATTGGAAATCATTCTGGCAATTATAATTTTATTGGTTACTCGCCTGAATAGTTCAATTGAACTGCATCCAAACCACTCACGGAGATTGCGTAGCCACGAGATTTTACGTCTTCCTACGCTTCTTCTACCTTTGATTTTACCCTGCATTATATTCCTTAGTAGTTCGTACTTTTCACCTCTCATGATGTGCCCCACGTATTCCAATTTCCTGATCTTTATGGAATTTAAAACTTCGCATTGTTTTCCTAGTTGTTCGAGAACTTGTTCGTTTGTTTTGCGATCCATCCATGATATTTTCAAAATGCGTCGGTAACACCACATTTCGAATGCTTCTAGGTTTTTAATGTTGGATTTTTTAAGTGTCCAAGCTTCAACTCCATACAAAAGGGTAGAGAAAATATAACATCGAAGCATTCTTACCCGGAGCGATATATTGATATCGCGATTACAAAAAAGTTTTCTCATTCTATTAAAAGTTGACCGCGCAATTTCAATGCGGCATCTTATTTCTTTTGTCTGATCAGTATCTTCTGTGATCCATGCTCCAAGGTAATTGTACGAAGATATTTGTTCAATTTCTGTATTATCTAGTACTAGCTTAACTTTGATGTTTTGTGCTTTTGTAAATACCATGAACTTGGTTTTCTTCAAATTGATTTTTAGTCCATAATCGTTGCAATATATATTTAGTTGTTCAGCAAGGTGTTGCAGTTCTTCTAGTGTTCCTGCCAAAAGGACGGTGTCGTCAGCATATCTTATGTTATTAAGTGGTTCACCGTTTATTATAAGGCCCTCACTGATCTCGGCAAGCGCTAATTCTGAGATGGCTTCACTGTATAAATTGAATAACAAGGGTGATAAAATACACCCTTGTCGGACCCCACGGTAAATCTGGATATCCTTGGTCAGTTTGTTTTCAACTTTCACTATTGCTGTTTGATTCCAATAGAGGTTACAGATGATTCTAATGTCTCTACTGTCTATGTTTTTATTTAATAAAATTTCTTTAAGTCGATTATGCTGCACTCTGTCAAATGCCTTCTCAAAATCAATGAAAGAGGCATATACTTCCTGATTAATATCTAAGCATCTCTGCGAAAGAACACTTACTGCAAACAGTGCATCTCGTGTTCCCAGTCCTTTCCTAAATCCCATTTGTGTATTACTTATGCCTTCATCTAATTTCTTGTGTATTCTATTGTGAATTACTTTTAAAAACAATTTCAAGACATGACTCATTAAGACTATGGTGCGATGTTTATTGCACTCCTTTGCATTGGCTTTTTTGGGAAGCAGTATGAATGTTGATTGGAGCCATTCTTTAGGTATTATACCTGTTCTATATATGGTATTGAATAGATCCAAAAGAAGATCAATAGATTCAGTATTCACAATTTTAAGTAATTCGATAGGAACTTCATCAGGCCC